GTCCTTCGGTTGCAGAGACGTTGCCAGATCCCCGAGCTGGTCCATACGGAACGTCCGATCTTGCAGGCAAGCGTTAACGTGGGTATAGTCTACGACCAGCCGTAGCTTCTTGGCTGTGCTCGTCACGAAGGCGGGAGAGACGAACCCCTTCTGAAGCAGAATCTTCTGTTCCTTTTGATTGGCCTTTCGAATGTACCCTAGCCCGTGCCAACGCATTACCTCCTTGACGGCGAACGTCTCGTGATTCGGATCGAGGTTGTACATTGAAATCCGCTGGAAGGCGGGTGGTCTGGTCCATGGTAGCTGAAGCCCGAAACGCAGCTGCCTTATCAGCCAGGGAGTTGCGCCTATCTTCTCCCATTCCTCGAACGATGCGCCGACTTGCACGAAAGGTGGAGTCATTGGTTTCCTCCCCTCGTGCTGCCGTCTTTTCCCTTGCCACTTCCAGCCGCGTTAGGTTTCTTCCTGCCACTGCTGCGTCCGGGCTGAGTTCCGGAACGAGGCTGCGTCTGACCGGGGGTACTGCCGCCGCGGGGCTTGACTGAGCGACGACCAGCCTGATTGGCAGCTTGCCTGATGGCCCACTTCCGTTGGTGGGTGAATGCCTGGCGCCCGGCTGCGCTGTAGGCGGCCGGTGGGTCAATATAGGCTGATAAGAGGTCTGGATCGGCAACGCCTGAAGCCCCTTGTTTTCCGCAAAGTACTTCGTATCTCGAAGCTGCGAGCTCGTACGTTCCAAAGACGGCGACCTGTGCGTCTGAAATCCTTCTGAGGGCCTCCGAGATTTGTTGTTTGGCGTCTTCTGATAACCCTTCGAAAACTTCGGCCAGAGAGTAGAGTTCTCCAAGTGCCTCGTGCAGGGTGTTGTTGATGATAGTGGCGTAAACGGCGGTGTTGTAGAGGTTCCCTGCCTCCTCAAATCTCCCAACGCTGACACTGACACTACCGGTGCCAAAGGTTTGGTAGTGCTCGATTGTTTCCGGTTTTGAATCCGACGGGGAGTAGAGGAGAGAACCTCGCCGGAATGACGAAGCGAGGGGCGATGAGCTTCCTTCTGTTGAGTCGATGCCAACTGTTGCTAAATGCGGCAAGCCTTGTCTCGGCGGGGTCGGCTTCCGGGACTCGAAATCCGCGATGCGGGCTTCGTCTGTGTCCTTTGCGTAGGACTGCTGCGGTTCGTCGATGGGGGCTGTCCCCCTATTTTCTGGGATCTGCTGGGCGGGGACTTGAGATGTCCCGCATGCACTGCCGTGCTCTCTGCTTGGCCAGGTGTTGCGGCCGGCTGACCGGAAGGAGCAGCTCCTGTTCCTCTTGAAGTGACATTCGCCTGAATCTGGAGAGCAGCAGTGATAATAGCCTGTAACGAGCTTAATTGCGCGTCACTGAAGGGTGCCGGGGACTGTTCTGGTGCCTGAGCAGCCTCTTCGTCGACCATACCTGGGAACGGTACTCTGCCAGGTTAATGTGTCAAGCCGCCGTGGTTTTCACGGGGAAATCGTTCTCGAGTCTCGAGACTTGAGAACCGATTGACTGGCGATCACGGTTCGCCGACAAGCGGGTCGTGCCGCTCTGCTGTGACTGTGCGATACGACGGCGAGCCCGTTTGTGACTCCGTCCCTGCCTCCTTACAAAGGCGGCTCGCTGTCCACTCCTCGTGGCGCTCTCAATAAATTACAGTGTGATTAAGAGAAATACAGTGTCGTAAATGATTGTGTTTTGGCGCTTTCAGTATAGTGCCATTTACGCAATAGTGCCGTATGTTGAGGTCTGTTCCGGTATAGCACTATTGCGTGGGACCCCCTGTACTGTACTCCAAAAGGTATCATACGTCTGGGTCAAGCAGAATGCACTTGTCCGTTAACTTTCACTCACAGAGCCAATTTGGTGTGCAGGTGCAATTGAGAAATTGATTTCCGTCATCGACGTGCCTTGCGTTCCTAGAATCGGCCGTTGTTCTATGTTAATTTTAAAAGAAAAATGATCTGGGTTGCTTCCCCACTTCCAAATTGCTCAAAATTTGTGGCTTGTGTGGGTCAGCGTAGCGCCACGCTGGGTATTACGGCCGTGCGCTGGAACGCACACCTCCCAGAAGATATATATGGACGTTTTTTGCAGTTTAACGGATCGCCACTTCTTCCAAGAGCCCTTCCCCCCCACTCCCGATTTGGGGGCTCCACGCCGCCGGCGAAGACAAACAGCATCTAACTTTGGAAAGTCTGAGCTCCAGACTGACAAGCACAATGTTCTCGTGAGTGTGCCGCACGATGCTTCTCGCCACTGGAGGAGGAAGAGTGCCATGTTTTGACTCTTTCTTCTGAGGAGTGCATAGGCAGCGACATCCTTTGGTCTTAACTTTGGGAGAGCGCTCAGAATTACTTTCCGCACCTGAAGCAAAAGATGTGTGGACGTGAGAGCTTGGTGATGTCCTTGCCGTGGTGACAGTGAAGCGGGGTTCCAGCCCCTGTGGTCAGCGATAAGGGCAACTTGGTTACTTCTCGATCCGTCCGCATCGCCATTCTTTTATGTTTGGGGAAATCACAATTCCGACCTCACGGCACTCCGCTTCGCAGATGGGCAAGCACCTTTTCGTCTCAAGGCCTACATTTCTTGTTGCTGGGTCGCTTTTCGCTTTCATCGGAGAGAAAATACGGAGGTCTACTACGTACTAATGGCGATTGGTGGAAAGAATCGTTTGCGAGGTTAATGTGTTTCGCGGAGTAGAGGAAGGTTCGCTTCCGGTTCTGTTGCGGCTGCTCCGATTGATTTGGTTGCCCTGTGCACGTAGAAGTGTAGTAGAAACCGTTTCCAAGACCGCGAACATTCTTCAAGTCCTTTCCATGAGGTGAGCAATAGCACCGCTCGAGAATGGGAAGTAGACGCCAAGTGAAGTTACCTGACGTCCACATCCCACACTCGCACGGTTCTATTACTCATTTTGGGGAGTGCATGTATACGGGCGGAGATCAAGGAAGTGCATGGGGTTCCAGTATGTCTAGTCATTGCTTCACCAATTTGTTATAACGGTATTCATGCCTGCTGCTCGTCTACATCCCTGGCGTGGTGAGCTGTGGTGAGCGGGTCCTCCTCAACGTCACAACTTGTTCTGGTATGGGCTTGAACTACCGTGCAGAGTTGGCGAATAATGATTAGACACACTGGTGAGGGGCCTCAGTTGTAAGAAGTTGAGACCCCGAATAAGTTTCCGAAACGCTCGTGATTTAGTCGGGAGACGTTAGCTAGAAGACTGTAAAGTTGTCCGCAGGTTAGATCTTGTTTGCTCAGCACAGTGACAGTCAGCGCGGCTACGTGAGATTTTGTAGACTGCATATACAGATACAGCGGGGGGGAAACATGACTTGTATCAATCAACAGCTTCTTTCGTAGACACGCAAGTGACTCTCTATTTCTGAAACAGATGACACGCTCTCCCTGGTCAACCACGGAGCGTCTGTGATATCAAGGGCTTCACAAAGAAGAGGAATTGTATGTCGCAATTGGATGGGAAACAGTTGCTTGCAATGTCATTCGCCGAGCGAAAAGAGGTTTACTGGATGTGTTTGGTAGGCGAAACGAAAGGGTGACGGGGTGAAGGGGCGGGCGCTGATGGTGACGCACTTCAAATTTTTGAATTCTTGATCCTACACTACTGTACAGTGCGTCAATATCGCACTATTTGGCAAAATGGCCGGGGGTGCGTTCTTTCGAGGGGTCTACTGCCGCGGGAACGAGAGTACACGTGCAAATTAAGGGCAGTGCACACCCATCCCGAGACAGCGGGAACCATTCTCAGAGTGCGGCATCAGACGGCGCAAAGGCCGGAATCCTTTAGGACAGCTCCTTTTGCTTTCTGTTGTGTATGAGAAGTCCGTAAGATCTCCGTAAAGGAACAAGTCTGGCGCCAGATTACGTGTGGTGGTGTCAAGACCACTGAACAGGCGGGCCGCAACACTAACTTTTGGAGAAGAAGACTCAAAAGATACACGCTGTGTAAACGAAGGTGTTTGCATCTTTGGTGTACTGTACCCTTGGGTACAGTATTGTGTGCAAGCATTATGTCTGCGGACTGTCAAGTATTTGACGCTTTGCCGCATCTTAGGTCGGCAAAGCGGATACCCTCGTAAAGTTTATGCGTAATGATAAACGTATTGTGAAAGATGGATGCATCACGGCCAGTAGAGCAATAAGCGTCTACTACTGAGGAAGGAGAGAGGGTGGTCAACTGGGACGGAACCTTCGAATGTACAAGCAGATGAGTTTGGCTCGCTGATGCATGGATGAGAAGGGGTAGATCCGTGCATGATTTACAGTATTGTACAGTATTAATTGTACAGTTAATTACAGTATGTTTCGCCTGTTGGCGAATCATACTGTATTATTCCATTAAAATGGAATGTGTCCATCTCCCTGGGACTTGTCATGAGAGCCATACGTGCACACGTAGCACACGCATGACAGCGCAATTAGATCATCTTTATTCACCGCCGTCTCACTGATCCCTCCCATTCCCTTATAAGGTAGAGACACGATAGGCATACTGTAGTAAACGGAGGCATCGATCTTGCACCACAGGACTGGCGCAGAAGCGCAGGGGTGGGGTCCAGCGGCCTCTTTGAGAGACATAAGGGGTGAAGGGTGCATTGCTGTCAATACAGAGCTTACGCAAACGAGAATTTCAGCAATACAAATGCAGAAATTCTGCATCATCAATTGCTGAAACCCATTTCTGAAATTTTTGTGAACACTTTTCTAAAATGTTTACGCCAAACGTAGACTTTCAAAGATGGGAGTATTAGACGAAAAGGGCATGCAGTACAACTAGACACTGTAGAGTGGTACCATCGTCGCAACGACGGTGATCGAGGTAGCCGTCGATTGCACGATGGGGCGGGGGAGGCAAAAGGACCATCGCACAGCTTTGGTGAGACGTTAAAAAGTCCCTTCGCAAGTCACGTTCTGCAATTCTGTTTGCAGACGATCCACACGACTCCGCATTCTGTCACACCACAGCAACTCTTAATTTGGCAATGAAAATGGCACATGCTATCAAGGACTATCAAGATTACATGTTTGCGGAGAGTTTGTGTGCGTTTCAGGTTGCGGGCGGCCCCCCCACGCCACCGCCCGCTTCCTCCCTCTCGCGGGTAACCGCAGCAGCCCGCGTCGTAGCATTCCCCGCTAATCTAGACCTCCATCACGAAGTGCCTCCAGCTCCCGACCAGACGCTCAACTCCCTGAACGGTTCGCTCCCGCTTGCCACCTTTGCGCCCGTGTCAGACCGCGCTTTCCGGTGCTGGTAACGCCATCGCGCTTGTGTAGCACTGTCCCTCGCCGACTCCGCGCTTCCGCTTCGTCCCGCCCGCCATTTGCGGCAGCCCCTCCCGCCGTCTCCCTCGCCGTCTCACCGTGCAGAAAATCAACGGCGCTGTCAGGCAGGGTACAATTTACGCAATGGCACCCGACTCTACCGCAAGCGCGACGCAACAGCTCGCTAGCGTCGAGTTCCACAAGGCGCTATCTCCCCACTTCCAGCGCCTCTCTCACATGGGCCCGCCGTTTTCCGCCTCGCCGATGCGACGAAGCAGCTCCTGGGCGCGCCGTTCGTGCGCTGTGAGCCTGTCGTGCGACTCCTGCGCAAAGTTTGCGAGACACGTCCTGAGCTGTTGAAACTGGTCTGCGCCTGCACCACGAGGCTCTCCCGTGGGGAGAGTGTGCGCGAGCGGGTCGGCGAGCTCGTCGCTCCACCCGGCCTCCCGTTGGGCCATGGCCCGCGTGCTGTTCGCGTCGGTTGGACGCGCTGTGCGATGAGGCGATCGGCGTGAGGAAGGCCGGGAGGGAGACGAGTGTGAGATGCGTAGGGAGATGAAGAAAGTGAGGCCGTTGGCAAGGTTAATGGCGGCGACGTTGAACGCCGGGTTGTCGCACGTGAGGACAGAATTGAGGGTGGAGGCGGCTAGGGAGACGGCAGAGATACTGGAGGCGGGGAAGGTGGGAGGGAAGGTTGTGTTTGGCGGAGAGCGGAATCCGATGGAGGCGCTCAAGGAACTGGTAGGCGTTGTTAAGTCTGACGAGGCGAGGGTAAGGGTGACACAAGCGGTGGCGGCAACGAATTGGTAGCCTTGTGTCGCTGTGTATCATGCATGTATCCTATCAAACTACCGCCAATTACACGACACCTGTCCCTATCATTTCTCACAACCATGCTGAAATTCTCTTCACTAAAAACTCACATTTCGGCAATTTTTGTCACGACTTGATTGCAGAATTCTGTATATGCAATTTCAGTGTAAGGTTTTTTGCAGAATTGTTTGCAGAAATCTGCAGAATCCGGTTTGCGTAAGCTCACTATTAGTGAGCTTAAATAACAGTGAAATCATCCGTTGGCTAACCCACACCTGTTGATGTCAACACCTGTCAACAGGTGTGGGTTAGCCAACGGATGATTTGTGACATCACAAGCCAATCGTGGTGAGCGCAGTGCTGGCAATAGCAGCTCGCCCGGCAACCCCGCACCTCCCCAAATGAATCCCGATAACTCTCGACTTGCAAAGTGCCATGGGCGGCACCGTATAGTGCTGTTACTTCAAGCAAATACAGAGATGTGCGTACGAGAGGGAGGCGTCAACAGCGTATATGTCTATACGTATAAAACATTTTCGCCATGGTGTGTAAGAAGATTCAGGAAGGAATTTCTATCTCTACGAACGAGTAGCGGTCTCCGAGTGACACTTTTGGGCGTCGGTACAGCCGATAATTTCACGATGCTAACTTGGATGACAGCAACAGTCAGCCTGCCAAGCAAGTAGCATGCGCCAACTGCTTGTGCAATACAATTGGGATACAACAAACACAACCTTCGGCTCCCAATTCTTTCAGTCGTACTTATTTAACATTGTATTTTGCGGTATGCACTTGTCGAGGTCGCCACGAAAGCATGCCAACTTACGCGATGCCAACTTACGCGATTGCTTTTGCATGGGTATAAAATAATGGATGTTGTTATCGTTACCTCGAATGCTGCTGCTCGTAGATGGTACAATGACTGAAATCTACGACTCTCTACATTGGATCGGCCTGTCCAAGATGCATCATATTCCCCACATACTTTAGAACATTGAACGCCAAGCGCCACTGCTGTCGGTCCCTACCAAGGTAATATAAAAAGGGCAACCAAAGCCCTTCGACTTAGAGCTACTCTTGACACTCATCGGCACCGCCCTAACGTCACAAAGCATCATAAAGCTTTCCACGGGCCTGCTTATGTGCATGCTCATATCTCCACTCGCTCTGTCCGTCCCCCTGTCCGCCCTCCTCTCGGAGGCGGATCTCTCGGCCCCGGACCACTTCTTCCTCGCCCGTCAAATACACCCTTTCCGCGACGGCACCGTACTTGTTTCCGCCGCTTTCAGCTTCGGGCACCGACAGCTCGACCTGCACCCCATTGTCACCGTCCCCGAGCCGCCCGGAGTTCTCACCAACACTCTCCTGCTCGCCCGTATCCACCCTTCTAATCAAACCGTTATCTGGGCGTCCGCCATACCCACCGTGGTAACAGTCGCCGGCTTGACTATTGATGCCAATGGAAACACGTATGTCGTTGGACTTAGAGAGAGAGCTCTCCGTTCACCAGAGGGAACAATTACTGCCATCGAGTACTCGCCAGGAGGGGTGCGCTTGTACGAGAGGAGTCATACGCCGCGTAATGTGATGGGGCTTGGGATGAATGTAATGGTGAGTTTTCACTTGGAATATCGTCCAGAGTCGTGGAACACGGTAAGGGGACTCTTTTCGACGTGGGCGAGGAGCTTGTTGTGCCTGCTTTGGCGTTCAGAAACACGGCCTTGCTTAAGCTTGCGATCGTGCGTGTGAATAAGAAGACTGGCGCAGTTGTTGCAACACTATGCGGAGCTACTGTGTTCCCTACCAATAAGGCAAGGGTAGGAAGGACCAAGTATGATTAGTGGTCTTACTTGTTACGTGTAGATCACTATTACTATAGTAGACGTACAATTAGGATTAATTGCGTGTACTACGAGGTGCGACCCAGCACCACGCTTCCTCGTTCGTCGCGGCATCCCCTCGGGTTAAATAGCGTTCGAGCTCACGTCGACCCAGACCGGGGAGGGGACCAGAACAGTAAACCATCGTTCTTCTTTCTGGTCACTCCAAGGAGTACACTCCCTTCCAGTTGTGGCATCGAGGACCATGTCGCAACCAAAGGGGTTAAATACGCTTGAAACGCGGGTGTCGGACTTTGCAGTATTGAAGACTAGGAAAAACGCGTTGAGGTCCGTAGCATGCTTTTTGTACCGTGGGCTATTACGGCGGAAGCCACTCACGACGAGTTTGTATGTGCAATGCGTATCCGTGAGGGGGAAGAAAAAGATCATGAGAAGCAAGGGTCCTGGAAGAATCAGATTTGACAACCTTCGGTCAGGATTATCTGGCCGTCGAAGGGGAGGTGAAAACTGGGAGGTTGCCGTCGTTGTTTGTTGTGCACGAGAGAGCGGTAGGGTATGAATTTGGAGTATCAGAGGGGGAATCGACTGCTAGGCATAAGATGATGATAAACAGGCTGGACGGCAGGACTTTGGAGAACGTGGATTGGGGGAGTGGGAATAAAGGGGGGAGAGTGAAGCCGCTCATCGTCAAACTGCCCACGCCATTCTCCGGAAGGGCATTTCTCCTTCATAGGGTCATATATCTGCCTAAGCGGCGCACGATTGGGGTACTGTTTTTGACAAGGACAGATATCACGGAGTTCAGGAAGGATACAGGGCCCAAGGCAGACATCGTAGTGAAGGCGAAGAAGGCTGAGTCTAGGCTTTCCAAAAACTATTGGGTATTATACATTGATGAGAATATTGAGTTTGCGACGACCTTCATCAGTGGGGACCCCGGAATGGAGGCAGAGAGCGACATTATTTTAAAATTGGAAGATATGGTGGTGTCCCAGGACGAGAAGACAGCGACGTTGTATGGCTTTGTAACGTCGGAATTTATGGCGAGGGGGCCTCTGCGTATTCTCAATACTAAGATCCCAGACACGAGCATGCATTGATCAGGATGTCTGACAGATGGTAGCAAGTTGTAAACCACGCCTTGAATGTGCGCTTCCTTTTCGAATCGATTCCATGTTATCAAACATACTCAGGATTGAAACAATGTCGTGTAGTTTTCACAATCCTATCTACATCAACGTTTGAACGGTGATCAGTACAATACCGCACTAGAATCCGAACTTGACTTGCTACTTCTTTCTCGTAGCAGTATGCGTCGGGGGAGCGTCGGGTACACATTTGCGCAAACGTGCTCTGCGAAAATGGTGAGGGACAATTTTAGGAGACGACGAAGGACGCCCCACTGAGACGGGCTGGCCGTAAAGGAAGAATCGGTAAGGTCTGGCAATTAGCAGAGCTGTCCAGACATACAAACATCTCTGCGTACCGGGACCGCTGGGGATGGGAAGTCGGCGGGTTCAGGCGCATGACATGGACAGTTTACATAGCTGTGTACCATCCGGGTTTTGTGTTGAGATGAGAATGCTTGTTACGAATCGATCAGATATTCGACGTAGCAATGTATTGGTGCTAGGTAAAGTCGAGGATGTATAGGTGATGTCGTCTCTTCCTGGTACAAGTCTACCGAAGGCTGGTAGAGCAAGGGAGATCATGAGTGACATAGCCTAACACAGGCAGAGAGTCCGTTTTACCTCGATAAGTTGTGCTTTAAAAGCACACTACATTCTTTAGCACGCACGACGCGCCGATGTGATCCAGCATTGACGAGATGCTGGAAATAAGCTTGCGGTAGACTAACAGCCTGCGCTTCAACACAAGTGGGGCAGATCGGAGTTGGTTGCGGGCGAAAAGTCCTTCCGAACTGGAAGGGCGCTGGACGCCAAGCTTCCCGTGTGTCCGTGTCAAATCTTTACTGTCGGTTTGTATGTCGGTTTTTTCGTTGCTATCTGTGACAATACCCAGACACGTGCACACATGGCACACGTACCACACGCACAGGCTCACACCCGCCGGCGTGGAATCAGAAGACTTAAATAGTGAGAGAGTAGATCCAGCCAGTAAAGACTGCCCCATCGTTCCTGCACTACAGGTTATGGACCACACGCAAACATCCCTGCAAGACGATCGCACAACTACGGGAAGACATCCTCGCAGATCACCCCGCCACCGGCAAGGACACACGGCACCACTACCCACCCCTGGCAGCCTAGAATACCTCTCCGGTTCAACAGAAGAGCCTCCACGAGCCAGTGTTGAGAGCCCGCATAACGCGCCTCCACCCCGTGTAGAGAGCAGAAACCACACGCAACCACGCGTGGACACGAATACACCAACAGCCACCGCCATGGCCAACGAAGAAGGAACCACCCCGATCGATCACAGGACCCAAGCCCGATTGCCGCCCCTCAGCCCCACAGGAGATAATTTCCCCTCATGGAGACAAGCGCTGAATGACATGGCCATCATCCAAGGCATGGAAAATGTACTCGATCCAACGTTTACCGCCCCAGATGAGACAAGCCCACTATATGCACCATACAAACGCAACAGTGCAATCCTCCGTCTGGCAATCAACAACTCACTCCCGCCAACCTTTGCTGCCACCGCCGATCTAACACTTGACGCCTCACCCCTCCACATGGCTCAAAAGATCACAGAGCACTTTACAGACAGCACAACAACGGCGCACCTGCTGCTAAAACAAGAAGCAGAAAATACCAAGCTCACCCACAACACAACGCTGGATGACTACATTGCCCGCCACAGAGCCATTCGCACACGCATGCAAATGGCTAACTATCCAAACAGTAAATCAGGAGAGGCAGCCACAGTTCAGTTCATCATTCAAGGACTATCGGCACACACAACGTACAAGCACCTCCAAGATACGTGGATTGAAAATGGCACTGTCCCAGACACAATTCAAGGGCTAGTACAACGACTTAAGTCAGTACATGCCCGCACCATGGAGCGTACGTCACAAAATAAACACGCACCATACGGTATGCAACAACCAGCAACCACACCTCCCACTCCAGCGTACGGAGGCCGCAACCGAGGCCGCAACCGCGGCAGAGGAAAATACAAATCAGCAAAAAGGGAACACCAATGGAGCAA